GGGTCTCCGGTTACCTTCTGCCCTCACCCTGTGCGCCCCTCTTCCCTCCCTCCTGCCCAGCCACACCGGCACCACCCCCCGCCGTCCTCCAGACATGCTAGGCATGTGCTGCCCACCCAGTGCCTCTGGGCTTGCATCACTCTCTGCCTGGAATGTTCTTCCTCCAGATATCCACATGGCTTCCCCAGCCTTCTTTTAAGTCTTTGCTCAATTGTCACCTTCCCAGGGACACTTTCCTCACCACCCCAAATTCATCCCCCTTCCTCGTTTCATCTTTTCCTGCTGCACTTGCCACCTCCTAACAGATGATGCAATGCCTTTTCTGTTTTGTTTAATTGCATATTGTCTTTTTCTCCCAACTAGAAGACAAACATCCCAGGGCCACAGATTTTTGTCTGTCTTTTGCCTGCAGAATCACAGTAACTAGAATCGTAGGTGCTTTCAAAGCACAGACGTGAGCTGCATGAGTGCAGATAGAGCAGGGCCCGATGAGGTCAGAGGAGTTAGAGAGCATCCCGTGCTAAATCGGATTCTAGTTATAGAAATTGACTCACTACACCCACTTTTTTACGGGTTTCTTGATTTTTGAGCAATGCCTCAAAAGGCAGTAGGAAGACATGCTGGAAGAGAAAGGGCCTTTGTAGAGTCGTCAGCGTGGCTGTAGTGAAACCAGAGGGCCCCAGAGGTGAGGTGGCTGTGGCTGCTATTTATAGCTAAGATTCCAGTGTATGTTTTCCAGCCACACTTAGGCCTTTCAGTCTCCCCTGTATGCTCAAGTCTGTCACTCAATTAGCTAATGATTTCTTTAGTTCCATTATGCATTGTAGGGCTGCCCTGGCTCAGGTGTTTTTTTTTTTTTTAAAAGAGAACAATGGGGTGTTCTGTTCTCAGAGGTTTAATTTTTTTTAATAGCTTTGCCAATTAAAAAAAAGAACCTTTTTCCAACTTTTTATTATGAAATTTACAAACATACAGAAGAACTAAACGAGCGATACAATGAATACCCAAACGCTCTCCACCTAGATCCGGCACTTGTTAACATTTTTCTGCTTTTGTTTTACCTATCTGCGTGAGTGTGTGGCTGGGTGCCTTTTTTTCCTGAAACCATTGGAAGGTAAACTGCAGATATCGTGACACTTTACTCTTAAAGACTTCAGCCTATTCTCCTATAAAACCACTCCAGAAGAAGTACAGATATCATCATAATCTACTCTTGCATCTCCCAAGAATAAGAACATCCTTATACATAACCGTAGTAGCATTATTAAACCTAAGAACATTAACAATAATTTCAAGCATCAACTAATATCCAATCCGCATGCAAATTTCTCCAATTGTCCTAAGAATATTTTTTTTCAAAGCAAGGTTTAGTCAAAATTCATGCATGGCATTTTGTGCTTATGTTTCTTTAAATCTAGAAGAGTCTCTCTCCTGCCCCATTCCCCACCCCAGTTACAATATAGATGTCCCACATTCTGACTTTGTCTGATTGCTTCCTCATGGTATCATTTTATCTGTTTCTCTGTCCCCTCCCTTCATGTGAACTGGGAAGTAGGTTAGAAGCTTGATTAGATTCAGGTTAAATGCTTTTAGCAAGAGGACTTTGTTTATTTATTTATCTTTTTGAGATAGAGTCTCACTCTGTTGTGCAGGCTAGAGTGCAGTGGCATTATCATAGCTCACCGTAACCTCAAACTCCTGGGCTCAAGTGATCTTCCTGCCTCAGCCCCCAAGTAGCTGGGACTACAGGCACACACCACCACCCAGCTAATTTTTTTCTATTTTTAGTAGAGATGGGGTCTCGCTCTTGCTCAGGCTGGTCTTGAATTCCCGACCTCAAGTGATCTTCCTGCCTCAGCCTCCCAGAGTGCTAGGATTATAGGCGTGAGCCACCACGCGCCCAGCCAGCAAGAGACTTTAAAAGTGACATTTTGTACTCCATTACATCAGGAAACATGTGGCATCAGATTTTCTTGCTCTCAATGACCCTAAATCCGGTCACTTGGCTGTGATGGTAGCAGTCAGAGGCCTCAAAGAGAGCAGTGGAGGGTTATGTTCACAAAAGTTTAGTTTAAAGAAAAAAGAACCCCCCTCCCCTCACTGGCTCTTTTTGAAGGTAAAATGTGTCTCAAAGGGCTATAAGGTCACTTCTGAGCCTACAAGTATGTCATGATTCTGCTCAAGATGATTAGTGGATAAACTAGAAGAGCTAAGTAGGATCCTTGAGATGAGACAATGGAGAGGAAAATTCTGGTTATGCCCCTGGCTTCTGCCCGAGGACCACAGCAACATGACTGTCACGGAGATCGAAATCTGCAGCAAGAGGCCTTCGGTTCCTCCTCCTTCCTATTGAACATTATCATCCGTCCAGGAGGGATGGAAAAACATACCCATACTCCACTTATAAAATCATGGCCTTTGAGGTATCAAGAAAGGAATCAAGGGGGCTTTCTGGAATGCTCTTCCTCCAGCACACTTCCCACGGTGTTGTACTCAGTCTGAAAGGCTGGGCATCTTTAGGTGGCATCCTAGAAACAAGATGAGAAGAGAGTTCATCTTTGTGATGGTTAGTGGCTTATCTTGGAGAATTTTGTGGAGTTTGTTACTACAACCCAAAAAAGTCTCAGGAAGGTCAAGAAAAGAGTAACTATAAAATGAATGAGAAGTTAGACCAAGAGAAATCAGGACTCTTCAGTCTAAAATCAGGAAAGTTAACAGGGAGATAATAAAAATGATAGCTTATTAGGAGCTTACTAGGTGCTGTTTAATTGTTTACAAGGCTCCTCTGGAAAAGGTGCTATGATTACCCCTGTTTTGCAGGTAGGGAGACCAACACCCAGGTTGAGTAATTGTCTTTGTGCTGCACAGCTCTTAGGTAGTAGAACTGAGATTTGAACCCAGAGTGCCTGACCACACCTGCCCTATTAACCCCCTGCACCGTATTGCCACTGGATCTCAGCATAATGGAGGAGGGAGACACTCCTTGACTTTTAAAAGAAATATATAAATATTTCTTACTTCAGAGTTTCAGTGGGTCAGAATTTGGGAGTAGCTTAGCTGGGCAGTCTGGCCTGGGATCTCCCATGAGGTTGCAGTCAAGAAACTGGGCTGCAATCATCTGAAAGCTCAGCCGGGGCTGGAAGATCCCCTTCCAGGGTGGCTGGTCCCATGGATGGCAAGTGGTGCTGGCGATTGAAAGGCCTCAGTTCCTTCCCACACTCCTTGGCTTTTGAAGGAACTAGTTTCCGCTGGAAACTACAATTTTATGGAACTTTGAGCTTACCAAGATCCTCATTGAAGCAAACTGAAAATAACAGCAGACCCAGAAAGGATTTGGGGACCTCCATGGCAGGGAAGGCGGAATGCTAAAGAGGGCTTGGACCTGGAGGGTAACTGATTTCTACCTTATTATAATAGATCCTTAAATTGATGCAGTCTTTTCTGCTAAGTTCTTGAAGGGCTATGTCTGTTTCTTAGATTTGGAACCGGCTTTTTCGGGGGGAGAAGGTCGGTTATCTCTAGAAAGTGCCAGATTTACCTTAGTGCTTATGGGGACACTTAATTCTACATACCCTGCCTTATTCTAGAAAACAGGGAAGATAGCTTATAAAAACTATATCAGCAACTAAGAAATAAAACGACATGGTGGGCTGGGCGCGGTGCCTCACGCCTGTAATCCTAGCTCTCTGGGAGGCCGAGGCAGGCGAATTGTTTGAGCTCAGGAGTTCGAAACCAGCCTGAGCAAGAGCGAGACCCCGTCTCTACTAAAAATAGAAAGAAATCAATCGGCCAACTAAAAATATATAGAAAAAATTAGCTGGGCATGGTGGCGCATGCCTGTAGTCCCAGCTACTCAGGAGGCTGAGGCAGGAGGATAACTTGAGCCCAGGAGTTTGAGGTTGCTGTGAGCTAGGCTGACGCCACGGCACTCATTCTAGCCAGGGCAACAGAGTGAGACTCTGTCTCAAAAAAAAAACAAAAAAAAAAAAAACAAAAAAAAAAAAACCAAAAAAAACAACATGGTGGAGTGGGTGAATGGGTGGGTGGTTAGGTGACGGGGGAGGTTCGAATATGCGGTGCTTCCCTGGCCTGGCTTTTTAAGGTGGGGGGTGGCGTGGAGGAACTACAGACCCTGTAGAAATCCTCTTAAAACGCCAGCTCTCTCGGTGATTATTAAACGCGGGAGGCCGTGGCCCCTGACTGGACTGCACTGACGAGAACTGAAGGATTCAGTGCGGCCTGAATACCTAACCGAACGGGAGCTACTTGGTGTGGCCAAGCTCGGTGGCGGGGTCACGGGCGTGTGACGGCAGCAGTTTCCAGCCTGCCTAGGGTTTGGTGCTCCCTCCTGGTGTCAGCTTGTTCTGTTTTCCTGCCACTCGCCTGTGGGGCGTGGGTGCCCCTGGGCTGCTTCTCACCTCTCTCTCCTTCTGTGACTAATGGGGCTGGCCAGCCTGGATTGAACTTGTATTCTTTTAAATTTTTCCGTTTATTTAGAAAAATACATTTTCAGGATTGAAAATTTAAAAAACACATTTTAACACAAATAAACGAGTAAGTGCTTGCCATCCCTCATCTAGAGAGAGATGGCTCTTGCTGGCATTTTCTCAGGCTTTTCTGACCTGTAGCTATGGGTGGCAGGATGCCGCTTGCAACTGATTTCCTCCTCTGTACGCCATCAATATCCCTCTCTTTTCTCACACTCCTGCAAGTATAAGCAAACAAATAAGTCAGTAAGGTCGAAATTACGTAGCTGACCTACTGATAGAAAGTGTTTAGGAAAAAAAAGAGTACTGCTCTCTCACCTGTCTAGTGCAACAATGATAACATGAGACGTATTCCTTCCCACTCTCTTTTCCATGCCATGAGAAATTTGAAGATGCAGAAAAGCATTCTCAGGGGAGCCAGAGTAGGCGAAATTGGAGTTTCTGGATTTATAGAATCTTAACCTGGGCTGCATTTGCTTTCGTCCCATCCATGTTGCCTTTTGTGCCCAACAGTGGAGAACACGCAGCTGACCCTGAACCTGCAGACGGAGAACAAAGGCAGTGTTGTCTCGGGCGGAGAGCTGACAATTTTCCTGGACGGGCCAACTGTTGATCTGGGAAGTGTGCCTAATGGCAGTGCTGTGACAGACGGTGAGTGCCGCCCTGCTCCTCAGGGCTGTGCCGGGATGGGGCGGGGCCAGGCAGGAGGTGCCGAGAGCCTGGATCTCTCCCCAGGTATCTTGGTTTGGGTACCGCTCAGCCTGGCCCATAGCTAGCCCTGACTCTTCCTTGCATTTCGGATCAAAATCATGACATGATTTTTCAAGGACTGCTTTCTGACCAAGGACCGCAATAAATGTCATCTTTATAAGTGTGTTATTGTTTGGTTTGACAACAGAGAGAAACATCTTTTTATCCCACATGGACTTTGGAAAACAAAATGTCTTTATCAAATGTGACTTTGGCCCATTTTGTTTTCCTTTCTAATATAGTTGAACTTCCTGGGGAGGCTGAGTGTGTTTTTTATGAGAGTGCGTTTATTGGGAAGGGGACAGTGTATTCTTCTAGAGATACACACTAGCAAAATACAGAAAGAAGCAGGGAGATTGGAGCTCACCCCTAGCTCTGTCCTGAACGTCGGTGTTTGTTTCTTTTGATCTAGTCTGAAATTAGTCACCTTTGGATCTAGTAGGATATTATTTCATGAAGTCCAAGGTCTGAAATGGGTTGAGTTTCTCTATAATTTTTCTCATTAAATGTTTTGTTAGATGTGATGTAATGATGGTGCTTTCCAGGTGCCAAACAGGCTTTCTGTAACTTCACGGGGGTGAAATTCGAATTCGAATTCAGGGGCATTTGGGTGGAATCTCGGTGGTCGGATGGGCCTTGACTGCTCAGAGGAATCCTTCAGTTGGACTGAGCAGTGCTTGGGCGCTTTTGGCGCGTGGAGAAAAACATGCCTCATTCACTCCTTCAATACATGTACACGTAATTGAACGCCTGGTATGGACTAGGTCTCAGACCAGGTGCCGGCCAGATGGCAGTGGGCAAAATTCACGTGGTCTCCACTTCTTGAAGGTTTTAATCTACCTGGTGGGGGCTGGGGGCAGGGAAAGTTAGACATCAAATGAGTAAACACAAATAATTCCATAGCTAGGAATGAAAGTATAAGGTAGTATGAGATTCCTGAACTTTGGGGGGCTCTCATCTAAATTGGGGGATCAGGGTAGGTTTCTCTGAGGAAGCCGAGGCCTGGAGTCTGAGGTGGTTAGACGGGGTGTGGAGTAAAGGGATGGATTGGAGGCAGCTGGCGTGGGCAGGTCACGGGGAGAAGGAGAGTGGCGGAGAGGAGGCCAGAGGCCTCGGTAGGGATTTGGAACCTCATGCTGAGAAACAGAAAGCCATTGAAGGGATTTTTATAGAAGACTGTCATGATCTGATTTGGCTTGTTAAAAGCTCTCTGGTTGTGCTGTGGAGAAAGGCCCCCATTCCTTGCCCTCACTTTGCCTGGTTGGCATCTGTCTTCCATCTCACGTTTTTGAGGGTGAAGTTCATTTCATGTGTAAGGCAGTGTGCTTGTAAGCACCTTGGATGTTCTTAAATGTCTTGGAGAAGAGAAGCTGTTTCTCAGGTCGGAACCCCACTGTTCTGTGGTGCAGTCAGCTCTCACATGAATGTCCCTGTTCTTTCTCATGCTAGGCGCCGCAGCTTGCTAGATGTCCCCACTCCTATCCCACCACGGTGGGGAACTCTGATGCACACAGGGGGTTCTGTTCCTGGTAGCCAAATCTCAAGGGGTGAGCTTCTCAACATTTCTGTCTTTTTCTGTGATTCATCCCCTTTCTAGGATCACAGCCGCCTTCGAGGGAGTCCGGTGGGACAGCGGTAGCTCCGGAGAACCGGCACCAGCCCCCTAGCACCAACTGCTTTGGTGGGAGATCCCGGTAAGAACCCGCTTATTGATGAGAAGGAGCTGGGAAGATGCTTAAATCTATTAAAATCACACCGGGAAATGGCGAGACCCAATTGATGTTAAAAACTGTTGGAAATTTCCGGGGATCTTATAACCGATTTAACATGTTAAGGAGGCCAAGAGGGGAATACAGAGCTCAGGATTCTTTAGAACAGTCAGAGCTTCCTTGACAAGGATTCGGACCGGCTGAGTTATTATTGAGATAAAGGTAGAACTGTTGCACAGAGAATTTGACTGCTTATTTGTATGTCAGGCGCTGTGGCCACAGTGTTCTTCCAGGACACACATAGAAACGCTTAGAGCAATGGTTCTTTGTATGTGACATTGTCCGTGTGTTTCTGTTTTGGGGGATGGCCCGTGGTTCCCTCTGGAGCGTTGGTTAAGACCTCCCACGCTTAGAGTCTGAGTTATGTTATACTTGTTATACATCTCACAACTGACGTAATTTTTTTTTTTGAGACAGAGGCTCACTGTGTTGCCCTGGCGGGCTAGAGTGCCGTGGCGTCATCCTAGCTCACAGCAACCTCAAACTCCTGGGCTCAAGCAATCCTCCTGCCTCAGCCTCCCGAGTAGCTGGGACTACAGGCATGCGCCACCATGCCCGGCTAATTTTTTCTATATATTTTTAGTTGTCCAATTAATTGGTTTCTAATTTTAGTAGAGACGGGGTCTCGCTCTTGCTCAGGGTGGTTTCGAACTCCTGAGCTCAAACAATCCGCCCACCTCAGCCTCCCAGAGAGCTAAGATTACAGGCGTGAGCCACCGCGCCCGGCCTGATGTAATTTTATTTACTGAAATTCCCATCTTATACCTATGCTAATGGTGCAGACTCATTTCCATGGCAACTGAATTTCTAGGCAGGAGAATAGCTTTACGTGTATTAGAGAGATGGGGGAGGGGTCAGGACCTGTGTTTGTTGTTTATTACAATGTACAGAATGCCCAGACATTTTAAGGAAAAGAATCCTGTAAATGTAGTTTGTAAATCTTTATTATCTGTGGAGTGTAGGTGAGTAACTGGTAGTAAAAATCTTCCCAAGCAGATCCAAGGGAGTAGGGAATCATGCTTTGACAAACAGAGTATGATTTCAGCCAATACCCACAGCATCTTGAAAGATCTCCTGAGGACAGCTCTTAGCTTCTCCAGATTTGGTAGTTTTGTGGGTTTCTGAGGTTGCGGTGACTGGCTGGTGCTGGAGCAAGAGAGGGCGGATGTTTGGATCTTTTTCCGTGGCGTCATTCGAAGCAGAGGTGCCATTTCCCTGCTGTCTTTTCTCCAAGTCTCTGCAAAGGTGTTGCCTCATACCCGGAAGACCAGTCACGTTTTCCGTGACTTGCTGGATGGGATAAACAGTCGGGTCCCACAGGGTGAGGACCAACAATATAACTGACAAATCTTGTGTCCACAGAGGAACGATAAGCATCCCTAGCTGGAGGGGACAGAACCTCTCAGTGGGAACAGCATGGGGTGAGGAACACTGGAACATTTCACTCTTCGGAGAGTGACACCTTCTTAGCTTTGGCACCAGTCACTGCCATTGTGGTCTCTTAGCTGACCTGGAAAGTTTGTGTCAGACACACTGATGTCACTTAATTTGGGCTCAAAGGCAGAGTCTAGCTCTTAACAAGTTTGAACCTAAATTCTTGACCTAGTTATTGGTCTCTGAATTTCTCTAGTTGACCAACCTTCAAATTTATAGATACTGATAACACTTGTTTATTGTTGTTTTAATTGAGGATTCTTTGCTGTTAAAACAGCAGCCGTGGCCGGGCATGGTGGCTCACACCTGTAATCCTAACACCCTGTGAGGCTGAGGTGGGAGATTAGTTAAGACCAGGGTTTCAAGACCAGACTAAGCAAGAGCGAGACCCCGTCTCTACTAAAAATAGAAAAATTAGCTGGGCATGGTGGTGCATGTCTATAGTCCCAGCTCCTTGGGAGGCTGAGCCAGGAGGATTGCTTGTGCCCAGGAGTTTGAGGCTATAGTGAGCTATGATGACACCACTGCACTCTAGCCTGCGTGACAGAGTGAGACTCTGTCTCAAAAACAAACAAACAAAAAAATTAAAAATAGCAGCCAGATATCGACAGAAAATCGGATACATTCGGGCCCATCACACGTGGTAGACATTCAGTGCTCGTTAGTTACTGGTGGGCCAAGTGCCTTCCAGACGGCGTAAGCTCTGGGAGCCCTCTCCGGTCTGCTGTCTGCTGCAACATTTTACCACACGTGGCCTCTGAGTTTTCACAGGTCTTTGCCATCTAAGTATTTACTCTGCATTCCCATGGAATCTGCTGCCGTTCAGCAGGAACCACTTCTGAACATAGCACCCAAAGGCAGTATCTTTTTACGAACCCTCTTCCCCTTTGCTGTGGCGTGTATGAAGGTCACCGTGCACCTGTACTTACGACCGTGGTCTGTGGGATGAGAGTGCGGGGCTTTGTAATCAGAAGACGCAGATTGCATCCTGGCCTGTCCTGTACTTGCTGTGTGATATTGGGCAATTCAAGAAACCTCTCGGAGCCTCAGTTTTTTCAGTTGTCAGATGAGGATTTCACCTGCCTCTTGGGGTCATTGTGGGGACCCACTGAGATGAGGTGTGTGAGCCTGAGGGCCTTGCGTGCCAGGAGCGCTCAGTGAGGGTGGCAGTGGATTTTCTTTGTGTCTGGAGACTATATTGTGCACCCCATCTCTCCCTCCCCAAACGCGAGAAGGGAGGCATCAGTGGTGCGGTGACATCAAGGACCGTAGTTGGGAGGTGATGAATGAATCCTTCAGGATTCGAGGGCAATCCTCTGCTGTCCCAGCTTTCTGGGGGCAGAGAGAATGCTGGGCTTCTGCCTGCTGCCTCCCAGACTAAATATTTAGCTTCTGCCGTCTGAAGGGTAGGTTTTTCTTGGACTTGGGTGCTGTTCACCATGATCAGACCAAGGTGCTCTGACGTGCCCGTGAAGGTGAAAGCTGTGATGTCAAAGCAGCCCTTTCCTCTCCTCCTTGGCCCTGCTTTATAGAGCTGTAGAACTGGAACCGTGAAAGGGTTTTATCTTAGGGGTTCAGCTACCCACGTTCACCCTGCAGAGCTGCCATTTGCTTGCTAGGCCAGGTCCCAGACCTCTGTTTCTTGGTGCGGTCTCGCCTTCTCTTAAAAGTAAATCATCAGGTGAAATACCTCTGATTGTTTTATCATCTGGTCTGCCACGTGGAAGCCAGCATGGGACTGCCACCAGCAATTCACATGACATAAATTTGTTTGCGGACAGACTGTGTTGGTATGCAGTCAGTGGGTCTGGTTAACTAAAAAAAGAGTTAATATCGAAACTGTTGTATGCAGTTCCTACAGTGGAATACTGCCCTGTAGTAAAAGTGGGTGAAGGATGGTTACATCAGTATGGTAGAATCTCAGAAACATAACGTTGAGCAAGAGAAACAGGTCACAGAAAAAAATATATAGGGTGATGCCAGGTATGGAAAGTTAAAAATACAAAACTAAACAATACATGTTTTACGGATAGCTTTGCAGGTAGTAAAGCAATTAAAAAATGAATGGGAATAATTAACCCTGAATTCAGGAAAATGGTTATCTTTGCGGGGAAGGAAGCTGGTATAATGGGGAAAGGGTACAGAGAAAGTTTCTGAGGCACTGGTCATGTTATTTCTTAGCCTGGATGAGGTCCTGATTATTCATTTTATCATTCGTCTTTAAACTGAATATATATTTAATATATTTCTTTGTTTACGTGGTATATTTCATAGTAAAAAAAATTAAAAAGTGTCATCTACCAACCTAAGGAAACCGACCAGCGATGGTATTGGGTTGGTGAAATTATAGTTTGGTCTTGAGGCGGACAGATTTCAGACTTTAGGATTTCTGCATGCTTGGTAATAGCCACTTGTTTTTCTTCTGCCCGGTTTGTACATGCAGCGGTGTAGCCAGTGATTCTAAACTGATGCTCACGTTGGCTTCTTAGGCTGCACTGCTATCACTTAGAAATCTCAAGCCTGAGAAGTTATTTTGGGAGTTTGGAGAGTGAGTTCCAGATAATAGCTGGTCACCTCCTGAAAATGGACGAGAATAGCACTAATCTTGGTGACCTGAAGGCTGATTAACACTAGTTGGTATTTGATTGGAGTGGGGACAAGTACATGGTGCACCCCAGGATCCTGCCTGTTAATGTGCCACCCTGTACCGTGTCCTTGGCCAGTGTTCCTTATTCCACCGTAGCAGTGGAGCGTGCCTGGGATATTATGAAGCCCCTGGGAGAGTGTGTGCTAGTTGGCACTGGGAGTGCCTACCACACCCTTTAAGGATTGCTCAGTGTTTCTTTCTTTTTTTTTTTTTTTGTCTGGCTCTGTTGCCCTGGCTGGAGTGCCATGGCGTCAGCCTAGTTCACAGCAACCTCAAACTCCTGGGCTCAAGCCATCCTCTTCCCTCAGCCTCCCGAGTAGCTGGGACTACAGGCATGCGCCACCATGCCCGGCTAATCTTTTCTATATATTTTTTTTTAGTTGTCCAGATAATTTCTTTCTATTTTTAGTAGAGACGGGGTCTCACTCTTGTTCAGGCTGGTCTTGAACTCCTGACCTTGAGCGATCCACCCACCTCGGCCTCCCAGAGAGATAGGATTACAGGCGTGAACCACCGCGCCCGCCCTCAGTGTCTCTTTTATTTTTCTGGAGTAAGGGCTGGCTTTGGGAACCTTGCCGACGTCAGTTCAAGTTGTGGAGATCTAGCGTGTGCCTGGAACTGTGCACACATCGCACAAAGAGTGCCAGAAACACCCCAGTTCATCACTCTACCCTCCACAGCGAGCTCAGTCTTCATGACATGAAAGATCTTTATGAAATAGAGAACTGTGAGAAGCTCAGAGAGCAGAAATCAGCATGTGGAGAGTGGATGGGAATTTGCAGAGGGACTGTTTTCCATTGTCCAGTGGTTCAGTACAGTGTCTTAGGGGCGACCTGGCTCAGGG